GGCTGATTAGAAATTAAGTGTTAACGAGCAGTTGGACAGGTGTGCCTAATAAAGTGGCCGGTGAGTGTATATATATAATTTAGGAGATCAGAAGATAGTTGTGAAAAAATTTTAAGACCTCTGTTCCAGACCATAAGGAGGGGATAAAGTTAAAGGTTAGAACACATGCAAAAACTCAATACCATCAGGTAACAGTTCTGAAATGTGGGAAAAACTACATGTTGTTTCAATGAGAGCAGGTCCCTGTGTGTCACACTTTTGTTCATCTGCCTTTGAGATTAATGCACTTAAATTCGGATCAGACCTAATGTCTGAAAATAAAAAGGTAGGTTGACATCAAGTAGTTAGAGGAGATGTTTGGCAAATTTAAGCTATGTACTGAGACGAATGGATTTGGAACATCATCGCTGGCTTTAACAGACTTTACTGTCTCTTGGTTAATATCACCTGTTTTACATAAAACATTCAGAATGTGCATTGTGTCTACATCTGATTAACMTTCTAAGTCAACTCGATTTAAGGTGGCTCTCACAGCTTTGGAAAACAAAAATATCTATAAATCATTCAGTTTTACAGATATTGAGGTGAAATTCAGTGTGGTAGCAGGTGAGTCATTCACAACACAATGCACACTCATCATGTGAGATACTGCATGAATTCACATGATACTGTTTTCAAGGTTTACCCAAGATAGCRTTAACTTTGTCATTTCTGAACAGAAAATGATAAAACACTGGTGTGAAAGTCAGCAGGTGACATGGTTGGTTTTACAACATGATTCTGCTCATTCATGAAGTGGCTCTTTAATCAGTTAYAAGAATAGGACCTAATGGCATTTGGTTTTATAAAATCTTCAGTTTAGTACCTGGTTTTCTGCCTCAGTATGTGAGGGACTATGAAAGGCGTCTAATAGTATTATGTAAATATTGCTCATGGCGTTTTTTTGTGCAAACGAGAGTGAGATGAGTGAAAGAGAGGAATAGGAGTGCGATTAGCGTGAAGTGCAGACGCACAAGTGACATAATTTCTTTCGTACTTTACAGCACTGCGTTTGACTATTCACTCGGAGCACAAGCTCGGTGTGTTGACACGAKCGCGTGAGTCACACTTTAAGTGCCAAAAGGTTCTGGCAAAATCTATTTTGGCTTTTGAGATTGAATCACAGGTTGAAAACAGAAAGCATGTTAGCAGTTTTCTCCAGGAGGTTTTTATTTTATTAATATTTTTTTGGATGTGTTGTGAATTTTAGCATATTGCCTGGAGATAAGTGCTGCAGCTGTGCAAACAGATAAAACAAAATTGTTTTAAAAAAGTGCAAACTCACAGGAACTTTGCACCCTGACTGTGTTGTGTTTTGATCTTGACAAATTTTCTGCCTTTTTGTTCTTTTGTCCCCACTCCCCCATTGCCTCACCCTTTCATCTTCCATTTCCCAGTCCCGTTTGGCAGCCCTGATGAGCGTCTCTAAGCCCCCACCACCACCTTCCACCTCCCACCTGGCCATCCCCCCTCCCTCCCCCTCAGCCCCGTCCTCGGCCGCCACCTCCCCCATGGCGGCGCCCCACTCGGCCGCTCCTCCTCCGCCGTCGCCGGTCAAGATTTCTATGCAGGAGCACTTTGCCATCAACGTGTGCCCGGGGCCCATCCTCCCCATCCCGCAGATCTCAGACTTCTTCCCACGCTTCCACGACTACCCCTGCACGCCGCCACCCCCCAGGGAGAAGAAGATCCTGAAGGAGGAGACGTTCAACGGGGAGACGGGAGGAGGATACAAGGACGGGGAGAGGAGAGGGGAGAACGAAGGCGACGTGGGGGAGGTGTTCGACTCTGACGACGAAGACAGTGAGTTCAGAGGAGAAAGCACCTCTCTGTGTGGCAGAGGGGGAAAAAAGTTTCAAACTTTCTTTAATCCCGGCCCAAATGTAAACTCATCTCTGACTCTGGCACTGGTTTAATCGTGTGATCAAGCATAACAAAACCACTCCGCCAATTCTACAACTTGGGAGTGAAGCGTCATCCTGTTTTGCTCAGTTTCAGTTTTTCTTCAGATACACAGCACATGCTTGCAGAGTAATTGTGGAGTCGAGCATTTTCCCAACACTGTTTGTCACTCCCACTTTATGTGACAGAGCGGCCTTGATGATTTATCACACAATGCTGCAATAGTGGGACTCTAGTTTCTGCTCAGTCCCAAACAGTAATCAAACAAGACAGATCAATTCATATAAGGCAGCGTTATGTTTTTAAGAGGCCATCTGCTGCAGAAATGACTCTGAGCTATTGAAAGTGTCTGCGTTTGGCTGTTTGTGCCGCTCACTGACAGTAATCTCTCTGTTCATGTTGTTTTTTCCCCTCAGCCTACCTGGGAACACTGGAGTTCACCCTGCTCTTTGATCAAGAGAATAACTGCCTTCATTGTACAATTCACAAGGCAAAGGTACGTCCGAAACGCTCGCCGTGCYAACACATCATCTTCCTTTGTTGCATAATCACCAATGAAAATGCTTCTTTCACATGGGCACGAGGCGTCAGTCGCACGCGCCGCTGTCTCGCAACCTTTTACAGAGGAACATGTTCATCAGCTCGTCTGCTCCAAACAGTGATGATAACACCGCTCCCGCAAACATATGCACGGGAACAGCAGCCTTCCACTTCACGTTTCATACTGTCGCAGGATGTTAATTATGTAAATCTTACTGGAGAGTTCCTTAGAGGAGAGCACAATATTACAAGCGGAGGGTCGGAAACACGAGAACAGGAAGGCYGGAAAYAGCTACAGCAGAACMGGTTCTGTCATATTTACTGTCCTTTTTTCTGACCCTGTCACTTGTGGATTGGTTTGAGGGCCGTTGATGTAACCTCTATGATGTGTGTGTGTTTGTGTGTGTGTTTTTGTGCCCACAGGGTCTGAAGGCCATGGACTCCAATGGGCTGGCTGATCCATACGTCAAGCTTCATCTTCTCCCAGGGGCGAGCAAGGTCACTACTTCAACTTCTACTCAACAGCTGTTCACATCACATGATTTAAACTGAGCAGACCCAACAATCACAATTACATATCACAACAAGAAACAAAAAGCAATAAATGATTACGATTAAAAAAATGAGACCAGCATTTTATAGGATTAAGCTATTTATTTTAATTCTAAAGACATCCTTATTAATTTGCAAGATTTTTTTTACTGGAGTTGCTTAAAAATGCATAGTTTTTGGTTTAATTGCATACAAACTAAACTTTATTTCTCCAAAGTGAGTTCATTTAAAAGCACTAAACATGAGCTATTAACTGTCTCTAATGATACCCCACATCAAAAGATCTCAACTATCATTTTAAGATTGAAACAGACAGATGAGATGATGCAATCAAAATGATATCATCTCAGTCAGTAAGTCAGCTTTAATACAAGATAGGGAAAAAAAGACCCTTGTTTGTTTCACCTTCTTGTTTTTATATGGTAATTATCCCCAAATGTATGATTTCACATGAATAATAGACTACTAACACAAGCCTATTTATGATCAAAGTTGCACAAAATGTAACCAGCACTAAAAAATGATGAACTATACATAAAGAAATGATGTATCATCACAAACCATATTGTCACGATTGTTTGGTCTTCGTAAATGAAACTCTGACTCCATTGATTTCTGCTTACCTGACAACATAAAAGGGTCACAACACCTCTTTTTTTTTGGGAGGGGGGTGCGGGCAACATGGCAGTCAGTTAATTTACTGTGCCTCCCCGACCCATGCAGCATTTCACTTGGACTCTGCTTATTGCGGCTCATCCAGCCCTCCTCTATGTTATCGAGCCCAAACACGTTCTGGTCGGCTGCCCCGCTCTTGTCTCATTTTCAGCTCAAGCGGCGGGAAAGATAAGGCTTGCCACAACAACAGCAGCAGCAGCAGCAGCAGCAGCAGTGGGAGCGGAAGCCATGGCAGAGGCGGCGGGCCCCCACTCCCATGGCTGCGACAGAACGCAACCTGTTGTCGGCCATTTCGGCTCAAGGCTGACACAGAATGGGGTTAGGAGGTGTGTGTGTGTGTGTGAGGGAGAGGGAGAGGGGTTGAACTGAGGTGTGAACTAAAAATATATATAAACATTTATATTTAGCCACTCACTGTCCACCTTTTCTCCAACTGTTATCAGTCTCCTCTTCCCCACTTTCCACCCTGATATCCGTCTCTATCGCACTATCTGCCTCTGCCCCTCTCTGACCTTGAAATACCAACAGTGTAAAGAGAGAGAGAGACAGGAAGGG